CCCAGACCGCGACGCGCGAGGCGAGATCATCCTGGCGCCCCCGCGGGTGAACTGAGCTCCCGCTCTTTGCCGCGAATGCGCCCCCCCCCCCCCGCCCCCGGGCGTGCCGATGTCCGTCCGTCGTCTGGGGGAGCACGAAGATGAAGGGGCCCAGGGACACACAGAGGCACAGATCTCAAGATTCATCACATCTTCAACCCTTTCCTGCTTGCCGCCTCCCCCTCCACGTCCCGTCTTTTCCACACTTCACTGGGCAGTGGCGGTCGTTTGTGTCTGTGCGCCTTTCCCCTCCTGCCTGGGAGGGGGGCACGAGCAGAGGAGCAGACACCCGCATCGACGGGGCACGGCGGCGCCCGTCGTCGGGGCTTTGGCTGCGCTCCCGCTCTTTTGCTCCGCGCTCTTGATGCCCCCCTCGGGCGCGCTGCTGCCCGTCCGTCGCGCGGGGGGAGCATGATGAGGGAGGGGGGCATGAGTACGGTGAGGGCATTGTTGGCCGCCCTCCTCCTCCTCCTCCTCCTCCTCCTCCTCCCGCTGGTGCCCGAATCGTCCAAAAGGGTGCCTGGATCGTTCCGAACTTGGCGGCGTGCACAAGGGGGTAGTGGGAGGGGGGAAGGCTTCTTAGAAGGAGGCTGCTTCTCAGAAGGCGCCAGCCTTACATTTACAGAGAAGGCCCGCGCCTTCTAAGAAGCATGGGTGCTTCTAAGAAGCCTTCCCCCCCTCCGCTACCTCCTTCTGCGCGTGGCCGGCATTGGATGAGGAACCATTGGATCCAGAATCCAAGGTCTGGAAGTCGGTGGAACTCCAGTCGTGGATTGGCCTCCCTCTTGAGATAAGGAATCCCACAAGGTCTGAAACCTCTTGGGCACATTCCTTAACCAACGCCCCCACCGCAGAGGAACAGAAACCGGCCTCACAACAATTTCAGGGGTGCGCGCGGATTTCTTGGATCGGCGCCGAAACCACCTCCCTGGCGCGCGAAGCGCGCGCGCGCCAGGGGAAGCTCGGGAGGCGCCGCAAGGGGGCACAACGCTGATCCAAGAACTCCCCGCGGGCCTCCGAGAAATTATGTGTATGCCGCTTGAGTTCTCCGAATGGGGAGGCAGATGATCTGTGCAGCTCCACTGCGTCTTCCTCAGGAGGTGAGTTAAGAAAAACGTCACATCTGATTGCGGCCAATCATCAAAGGGACCAACTTTCTCGGCTGAACACGTACTGAGACAATGGTGCCCTGCAATGACAAACACATCTGCAGAACATCAAATGCGAATATTGTGATGGGCGCACCACGGCACCCAGCTTTGGCGTGTTTCCCCAAAGCTGAAGAATTGCAGGAGAGATGCGAGCGGCATGGGCTCGAAGCCAGAAACAGGGCCAGCTGGGGGCAGAGCCATGGGCAGGCTTGGGTGCTCATGCCTTGGGCTGAAAGCCCGACCGATTTGGCATGCCGCTGTCCATGTCTATGTTCAGAACCTCGCCTCGCGCGAAGGCAGCCATATTGTCAGCAACCATGTCCACCAGCCGCTGGCGCGCCTCCAAGCGCTGCCAGCCAATGTGCGGCGTCAGGATCACATTATCGAGCTCGTTGAACACGTCGTACAGCGGGCTGTCGTCAGGGAGCGGCGGCGGTGGGGCGGAGCCCTCACCGAAGACATCCAGGGCCGCACCCGCAATCTTCTTCTTGCGTAAGGCGTCCACGAGGGCGTCCTGGTCAATGATCGGCCCCCGAGCCGTGTTGATGATGTACGCCGTCGGCTTCATCTTGTCGAAAGCTGCAGCGTTGACGAGACCTTTTGTGTGCTTGTTCAGGGGCGTCATCGTGCTGATGAAGTCTGACTTACGGAGCAGGTCGTCGAAGCTTACCACCTCGACACCGGTGTCACGCATGCCCAGCGGCGTGGAAGGCAAATCGGACACTATGACCTTCATGCCAAGATTCAGCGCCATCTTCGAGATCTGGCTCGCGATGTAGCCAAGCCCGCCAATGATGCCAAACGTTTTGTCGGTGATCTCGAAGTGGTCCAGCATCCCCAGATGACACTGGTGCATGTAGGTCCTGTCTCCTTTTGCGAGTGCCTTCATCTGGGGGGCCAGAGAGCAAGAGAGGGCCATGACCAAGGTGATAGCCATGTGGCCCATCGCCTCTGTCGTATACTCTGGGACATTGCACAACTTGATGCCCTTCTCGCGGCACGCGTCAACATCGATGTTGTTGTACCCGGTCCCTGCCTCTGCAATCAACTTGACTGAAGGCGGAAACTGCCGGATGATGTCACCAGGGATTGGGAACTCCTTGTTCATCACGATGTCCATCCCGGCGACGCGAGGGACGATCTCCTCCGTTTCGGTCTTTTCGAACATGGTCATGTCCGCGGTCCGCTTGGCCTTCTCCCAGCTGATGCGACCGTCGAAATCCAGCCGAGCCGAGTTGAGCATCACGCACCTCAGCCTGCCACTGGCAGCAGCACTGAAACACCGTGGCGCCGCTCCCCTCCAACGCTGGGGGGCGGCCAGCCGGCGCAGCGCAGAGGCAGCCATATAGGGGCTCTCTGGGGGGCCGGGCCCTGCCTGGAAGACCGCACGCCGAAGGGGCCAAAAGCCTCGAGCCAAAACGGCTGAGGACTCCTCGCGGGAGGGAGGCGAGGAGGACGCCCCTCAGATCTGGGCCTTGCAATCTTTTTCACGCACAGCGGGCGTTTGTGCGTGGCTTCGGGCCCTGGGCCCTCACGCATCGATCCGGCTCGACAAATGACGCAGACAGGTGGGGTCCGGGGCTCTGTTTTTCTGTGTTTTTTTTGTTATGATGTTGCAAGTCCAAGTCTTGTGCAACCTCAGGTCTGAGGCGCGCTCCCGTCCGACACACGCTTCTGCAAGCCTCTCGGCCCCTTCCCCCCCCCCCCGCCTGTCTCACATCCTGTGCTGCTTCTGGTGGCCCCGGGGCCCAGTAGATGGCCCCCCGAGGCCGAACACTGCAATCAGCTCCAGCACAACCTTTTCGAGTCGCCGACGGCCTGGTGAGAAGGGGGGAGGGGGACGGCAACAAGCCACACACCCTGCTGGAGCAGTCCTGAAAACCGTCACGGGCTGGGCGAGCTCAGGGATATCGGTCTCGCAGCCTCGCGCTCGGGCCTGACCCTCCCCTCAATGCAGCAGGGCCTCAAAGCTCACCTCCTCCTCTTCCTCACCCTCCTCCTCCTCCCCCTCCTGCTCCTCCTCCTCCTCCTCCTCCTCCTCCTCCTCCTCCTCCTCCCCTCCTCCTCCCCCACTCCTCCTCCTCCTCCTCCTCCCTCCTCCCTCCTCCTCTCTCCTCCTCGTCCTCGTCCTCGTCCTCCTCGTCCTCGTCCCCGTCCTCGTCCTCCTCCTGCTCGTCCTCCTCCTCCTCCTCCTCCTCCTCCTCCTCCTCCTCCTCGTCCTCCTCCTCCTCCTCCTCCTCGTCCTCCTCCCTGGCCTTCTGAGAAATCTTCTAAGCCTTCCCCGAGGGCACGAAAAACTTCTCAGAACGCGCGAGGGCTTCTGAGAGGTCTCGCCGCCTTCTGAGAAGGCCTACTCCTTCTTATTTCCCCCCCTCGCTCGTGGCCGAATCCAAATTTTCGGAAACGGTTCGCTCTTTTCGGGCCTCCGGAAGCCCCTGGGGAGCTCCAGAGTCCTCTGGAGACTTCGGGAGATCCCCAGAGACCCTCGGAGACCTCCAGGAAATGAGGAAGACTCTGTTAGGACTCTGCTAAACACTCCCGACGGGCAGCGGTGTTGCCCGCGGAACCCCCATGGCAACACCGAGCAGACCGGTGCGTCGAGCCAAGTGAAGGAGGAACAGGAGGAGGAGGAGGAGGGGGAGGAGGAGGAGGAGGAGGAGGAGGAGGAGGAGGAGGAGGAGGAGGAGGAGGAGGAGGAGAAGGAGGATTACCAAGCTGCCTGATTATAGGCTTTAAGGGAATTTTCATATGCCAAGCTTTCGGGACGGGGCAACCATCAAGTGAGTACTGGATAATGGGATGATCTGTCCACTGCTGTGCCGCGGAGCACTGGGATTCGTGTCCAGTAGTTTCCCCATCAATAGGCCAGATTCTTGACGGGCAGGGCCAACGCTGTATCTGCCAGTGTGGGCATTTCCCTGGGTGGAGAAAGGGTCAATCGTCAGCAGGGTTGACCCTTCCACTGGAGGGCGGAAGAGGATGAGGAGGAGGATGAGGAGAAGGAGTAGGAGGAGCAGGAGGTGGAGGAGGAGGAAGAGGAGGAGGAGGATGACTGGAGGACTTCACAACTCATCTCCTCCTCCTCCTCCTGCGTCGCCCGTCTTTGCCAGGGAATGCGAGAAAACAGCTGCAGTCCAGCCAACGAGCGCAAGCTTCGGACCTCTGGCGCAGAGTTGCGGAGCCCACTCCCAGCACACAAAGCAAGCTAACCTGCCGTGCGTGGAGGACTAGCAGGGCTGGGAATGATCCATGGCGTTCGGCGCTGTTCAAGGGCGGCAGAGAAGGGCAGGTGGGGGGAATTCGCCCAAGGGTTGAGTGGGAATCCAGTCCGAAAGGGGTGACTGGTTCAGCGGGGGCATGTGGGCTGGCAGCCCGTGGGGTCTCTCCTCCTGGGCTTGGTTCTCTCGGGCCAATTCTGGGCTCTCTTGGGGTTCGCTTGGGGCCCTCCACCCAAGAGCATCCCTGGAACCATCCTGGACCAAAAATGTAGCATGGAAGACTACACATTGGCAGAGACGTGAACTTTGGGAGGTCCGCGTGGACCTCGGATAACTTACGCTGATGCCGATGCTTCTCTGTTCGAGTCCCTGGAGCCGTCTTGGACGAAGCAGCAAGACAGGTTGGCGTCGCGCACAGGGGGTATGGGAGAGGGTGGAAAGGCTTTCTTAGAAGGCGCTGGCCTTACATCTGTAGACAATGCCCGCACCTTCTATTAACCAGGGGTGCTTCGATAAGAAGCCTTCCCCTCCCCCCTTCCCCTATCCCCCCTCGGCGCGTGGCTGCACCGGCGCGGCGGTCGCGACCAGGATCCTTCGGCCACAGCATGCCCCAGTTGTCGAAGCCCGCCGCGCAGTCAAACCCCTGGAAGGCGCCCGGCGGCGCGCTCGTGCTCGTGCCGGTGCCAGCGCCTGGCGCCTGCGGGCAGCCCCTCTGCTCGTGCTCGCAGCACCAGGCGAGCTTCTCCTGCACCGGGGCGGGCGGGGCGATGGGAGCCTCCCAGAGGGGGTCGGGGCAGGCGGGGTCGGAGGATCGCGCCGCATCGCCGATGCATCGGCGATGCACGGGCGACGTCGGCGTGGAGAGAATCGGCCTCCACATCGAGCCGGATCGCCGAGGCATCGGCAGTGCGGCGCGATCCTCCGACCCCATCTACTCCGACCCCATCTGAGAGGCCTAGAGACGAGGAGGGGAGCATCCAGACCTGCTCGAGACCGCTTCTCATCGTGAAAGGTCGCGACGGGAGGTTTTCGGCAATTTGCTGCCTCCAGGGGCCCTCACAAGGCCTCTGGATTTTCAAGAAACGACTCGGGATGAGGAGTCGCCCCCTGGGAAAAAGTCCAGCCCTCCTCAGGCCGGGTACTGAGAAACTCAAGACATCGGATGTCTGGGGTGGTTGGCCTGGGGAAGAAAACGGGGACCATGGCCAAGGCTGAACGCGTAAACGTCCTGTTAATCTTGGTCACCGTCCATCCTGGCTAACGTCCGTTCGTGGATCATCCGCGCGCGTCGGCGACGGCCTGCACGGACCATGACCAAGATCGGTGTCGACGAGATCCCGCGAGCTTCTGCTCCCGAGAGGGAGAGGAGGCGGACCGAGGATCCAGACCCGTGGCGCCCTGGGGCACAAATCGCCCCGGACACATGCCCTCTTTTCCACGCCCCGAGACCGTCCAGTGACGGCCCGGGGGAGGCAAGCAAGGCTGGCTCGGTGGGCGGTGGTCGCCCGGGCATGCGATGACCCGACTTTTTTTTTTTCGCTGCGCGGCCCCCTGGCCCACCTCTTCCTCGGGGCTGGATTTTTTCGCCCCGGGTGGTCTTGCCCAACCATCCTGTGGTGTGGGGTCCTCGTCTTGAAGGGGCGGTCCCCGCGTTCACTCCCTCCCTCCTTCCCTCCCTCCCTCCTTCCCGAAGGCCCCAGTGCCACCGCCCGCATGCGTCACGCACACCCCTTTCGGCACACCCTTGGCACGTTTCGTGGCCCTATAGGGAGCTCCACCGACGGCCCCGGTGCCACCGCCCGCAGGCGTCACGCACGCCCATTTCGGCACACCCCTCACACGTTTCGTGGCCCCACAGGGAGCGCCCACTGCACCCATTTCGGCACACCTGTCACGCGGTCTGTGGCCCCTTGTAGGTTCCGACGGCGGCCCCGGTGGCCGCTTTCGCACACGCCCACCGGGCGATTCTTGGCGCACCCCTCACACGTTTCGTGGCCATACGGGGAGCTCCTCCAGATGCGGTGCATACAATGACGGTGCTCACAACTGCATATGGTTAGGTCCTTCGCCAGGCTCACTTGATGGTCCCAAGGCCTGGCCAGGGCCCCTGGAGGCCGATCACAGCCAAGAGCTGCCGGCCGTGTTTCTTTGCTCCCGACGCGAACATGTCCTGGCGGAGAGCTCCAAAGGTCTGGAGGAAAAACTTGCCTGGGGAGGCGAACCGCAACAACACGGAGCTCGGCATCTCAAATCTCCGACATCGTGTTTTCTCTCACACTGCGGATGCTCGAATGTCCGAACCCATTCCCCTGGGACCGGTCTTCATCATGAACCGATATCTGATGGCTCTGGGGCCTCGCAAAAGGAGGAAACACTCTTCGCGCTGGCGGCAAGGCAGAGGAAGGCTGCGCTGGCGGGAAAGGCCTAAACGGGGGTGCCGTTATGGCGAATTATGCCACCATTAGGGGAACAAAAACTGGCATAAACATCAAAACTCTGAGGTCCGCGCGGATTTCTCGGATCGGCGCTGGACCCCCCTTCCTGGCGCGCGGAGCGCGCCAGGGGCGGCGCCAGAGGCGCCGCCGGGGGGCCCCAGCGCCGCTCCGAGAAATCTGCGCGGGCCTCCGAGTTTTTTTATGTCTGTGCCACTTCTTGCCCCCCTGACCACACGCGAGGGGGGGGGCAAAGGAGGAGACACTGGCACGAGCAGCAACGAGGGGGGGCAGAGGATCGTTAAAGGCTTAACGACTTCTGCCGTCCTTCGACTCGCGCTGGAGCGGCCGCGAGTTGCTTCACCTTTCCTCGGAGATCTTTGGATTTACCCGGATTTGTTTCGATTTGCCTGGATTTATCTGGATTTACCTCGATTTATCTGCATTTACCTGGATTTTTCTGGCTCGCTCCCCACAAGTCGATCGGCGAAAAGTCGACAGGCCCTTAGGGAGAGGAGGAGACACTGGCACGAGCAGCAACTTGGCGAGCTCTGCGCGGGCTTCTCTGCAGGATCGGCGCGCGGAGCGCTCCCGGGGCGGCGCCAGGGAGGCGCCTGCCGGGGGTGGGGCGGGGGGCGCTCCGTCGATCCGAGAAGCCCGCGCGCAGCTCCGACCGTTTATGTTTACGTGCTCTTCCTTCGAGAGAGGCCCTCCCTTTCCTCCTCCTCTTCTTCTTCTTCCTCCTCCTCCTCCTCTTCCTCTCCTCCTCCTCCTCCTCCTCCTCCTCCTCCTCCTCCTCCTCCTCCTCCTCCTCCTCCTCCTCCTCCTCCTCCTCCTCCCCCCCCTCCTCAAGGAAGGGGTGGTGGTGGCTCCTCCGACCACGCGGTCTCCCAGTTCTCGAGGTCGACGTCGCAGTCCTGCCTGTCCGAGCCCGCCGCGCTGGCGGGGCCGCCCAGCTTCAGGCCGATCTGCGCGAGCAGAGAGATGAAGGACGAGTAGTCCAAGGCCTCGCTGCCAGAGGACTTGACCTGGAGGATCGGGGGGCGAAGCTCGACGATTGCGAGTTCTAGCGCTGCCTGAACACAAGAACAAGGGAGCTGTACCAGGTGGAAGTTGGAGATCCAATGCAAGTGGAGGAGTGGCCAGAATCGGACAAGCTGGCAGGGGCTGAAACGAGCCCGAAGCAATTCGGATGAGGTCGCCAGGGCTGGAAAAGCGCAGGGGAAACTCGCCAGGGCCTGAACAAAAAGGACAGGCTGGCCCTCGGTGGGCCCCCAAAACGGCAAGGCCGTTTTTTCACCGTTTCCGAAAAAATGTCCCTCGCAGACGGAAACAGCAAAAAACGGCGACCGGAAACGGCCCCGGGATTGGAACCGGAGCCGGAGCTGGAAAAGCAACGGCGAGGGAGCCAGCAACAATTTGGGCGCCCGACATGGGTACCCCAAAAATGGGTACAAAATGCCCAACAGCAAATGTTGTCCCAAACCAGCAGCGGCCGCTGTTGGGCAGGCGGCCTCCTGTTTCGAATGGACACAGGCCGCGGCGGCGTGGACAGCGAGTCCTGTTCAAAATGAACAAAATCCGCTGTTGGGCATTGTACCCATTCTATCAGTACCCATTTCGTGCGTGCAGAAACAAAAACAGCGTCGGAACCGGCAAGGCAACGCCAAGACGGAAGCGGCAACAAAGACGGCCCTGTCGCTTCCAGGGCAGCGGCTGCCCTTCCTCTGCTCCTCCTCCTCCTCCTCCTCCTCCTCCTCCTCCTCTTCCTCCTCCTCCTCCTCCTCCTCCCCGCCCCTCCTCCTCCTCCTCCTCCTCCTCCTCCTCCACCTCCTCCTCCTCGTCCTCCTCCTCCTCCCTCTCCTCCTCCTCCTCCTCCTCCTCCTCCTCCTCCTCCTCCTCTCCATCTGCCCTGTGCCGTCTTCGTGCTGCCGCGGGAGGGCGGCACGAGGAGCGGAGGGGCGTTTTTTTGCTCCTCGTGGCCACGGCCGGCCTCGGCCACGAGCGAGTGCCCCGACGCGGGCACGCCGCGGGAGCTCGACCGCAAGAGACCTTCCACGAGAGACCCAAATCCTGAGACCCCAGACGTGCACGGATTTTGGGTGTGGGGCCGTCCCGCTTTCCATCGCAAAGCCATCGAAGCCCGAGAGACCCAGGGCAGCCTGGAGGCAAGCAGGCTGTTTCTTGGCATGGGCTTCCACTGCGCGCGGATCGGAGACGAACGGCCCGAGCACCAGGGCCCCTCCCGATCCCAGCGTGGCCTTCTTTGAGCGTCTCGAGCGCGGGCGTGCGAAGAGTCGTGCTCTTTTTCAATGCGGGGTCCCCGGCCCCTTCCCCCAGGCTGGTTTTTCATCCCGAGTTGTTCTTTGACGGTCCTGGGGCCCATCGAGGGCCTCCCAGGAGTCGAACATACCGAAAAGCCTCCCGTTTTTGTTTGTTTGTTTGTTTGTTTGTTTGTTTGTTTTGTTGTTGAAAACTCATTTCTGAAGAATAATTATTGTTGATCCCCCCCCACCGGTGCATATAGGTTTTTCTCAATCAAAATGTGCCCCTCGACGCTCGCACCTTGTTTTTTGACAGGGAAAGTCTTCCTGGTCAAACTGGGCCCCTGGCCCCCGGGTTACAACAACAACGGCTCCCGCCTGAGGCTTCCTCACAATTTAGCCAGGACCCCCGCTCCCGCCCGAGATTTCCTCGCATTTTATTCAAGAATCGCGCTCTTGCTTGGGGATTTCCCTATCATTTATTCAGGAATCGCTATCCTGGCGCTCTAGAGTCGCGCTCTTGCTGGAGACTTGCTTGCAATTTACTGACGAATAGCGCCATTGTGTTGGAATTTCTTACAGTTGACTCAAGCGCCGCGCTCCCGACACCCAGGCACCCAGGAGTCGCGCTCACGCGTAGGATTCCTTCACAAAGTACGTAGGAATCGGGATCTCGCTGCCCTTCGTGGCCCCGTTGCAGCCCTTCGTGGCCCCATCGCTTTGTTTCGTGGCCCCGTTGCAGCCCTTCGTGGCCCCCTCGCTTTGTTTCGTGGCCCCGTTGCAGCCCTTCGTGGCCCCCTCGCTGCCCTTCGTGGCCCCCTCGCTTTGTTTCGTGGCCCCGTTGCAGCCCTTCGTGGCCCCCTCGCTGCCCTTCGTGGCCCCGTTGCATCCCTTCGTGGCCCCCTCGCTGCCCTTCGTGGCTCATATATGTATGCCCTTCGTGGCCCCGCTGTCGCCCTTCGTGGCTCCCTCGCTGCCCTTCGTGGCCCTGTTGCTGCGCTCAGTGGCCCCGTCCTTGCCCTCCGCGGCCCAACATACGTATGCCCTTCGTGGCCCCCGCTCGTTCGCGCCCGTTGTGGCCCCATGTGCATGCCCTTCGTGGCCCCGCTGTCGCCGTTTGTGGCCCCCATCAGTGTCCTGTGTGGCCCAGTTGCTACCCTCAGTGGCCCCATTGTTGCCTTCTGTGGCCCCGCATTATCTGCCCTTCGTGGCCCCCGCTCGTTCGCGCTCTTCGTGGCCCCACATTCCTTTCGTGTCCCCGCTGTCGCCTTTCGTGGCCTACTTCGTGTCCTTCGTGGCCCTGCTGTCGTTCTCTCTCGCTCTCGCTTTCGCTCGTCGTCGTCGCCGTCGTGGTCGTCGTCGCCGTCGTCGTCGCCGTCGTCGTCGTCGTTGCCGTCGTCGTCGACGTCGTCGTCGTCGTCGTGGTCGGTACCCTGTCCGTCCCTCTTGGGGTCGGGTCGACGGTCCACGGCCGCCCCGCCGATCAGCGCTGCCGCTGGCCAGGCCGACGGTCCGCGGCCGCCCCGCCGCCTGCCGGGGCCCGGCCTGCAGGGAAGAAAGGTATACCCCCCAAAAGGGGTTCGATCGAAGACGAAGAGGGCGGGTATCGAGGGTTTTGGGAAAGACGCGACGTTATTGGACACTCGAGCAAATGAGGGCGACCAGTCTAAAAATGATTGTTGTTGTTGTTGTCGTCGTCGTCGTCGTCGTCGTCGTCGTTGTTGGTGTGTGTGAAATCAATACTACCAATAATCTTCTGTGTAAGATTGAAAATAACGATGCGATCATCTCTGGAAGAGTTGTTTGCTTCTTGTTCGGGCTGTTTTTGGCGTTTCGACGTTTTTTTAAATTGGATGCCCGCCCTCTCCTTGAGGCCCCTGGGGGCCCCTCCCGGCCAGAGCGCGTACTGGGACAAATCTGGCCGGGGGGGGTCGATTGTCGGACCCTGTGGGCTTGAGGGGCAACGCGAGGGGGTGACCAGCTCGTCGGGGGAAGCACCGAGATTAGATCGGCCATACATCGCCGATAGATCGGCGATCGCCCCCCGACAATGAATCCGCACGCTGCTGGGCCGGGCGGGCTATCGGTCCCCTATCGGGTCGGGGACGATTGGGCGGTTAGGGGTCGATGCGTTCCCCGCGGAGCCTCTCCCCTCCTAACGTTGCCCCTGAGGGCGGCAGGGCCCTGTAGCGCCACGAAAATCACGCCGGAAGAACCTTGTCGGCTGCGCGCAGGAGTGACCCTTAGCAGGAGTAACCTCCCCAGAACCCCCGACGTCGTGGTTCTATCACGACGTGACCTGCAAGGAGTCTGGACGCCATCCCGGGGACTGGTCTCTCATCCCGAGCTGGTTCTTGACGGTCCCGAGGCCCAGGGACAGCCGCTGCAGGCCGAAAAGCACGAACCGCCTCCCGTCGCGATTTTTTTCCACGACGCGAGGGGGGGTCCAGTCTGGCGCGCGGCTCCAGGCGACGGCGAGGGGGGGGGGGGGTCAAACTCTAAGCGCGCCAAAAGGGTGTTGGGGGGGGGACCATGTCGGGAAACTCTTCATGGAGGGGGGGATCCCATGGGGGGATAGGATCCCAGGGGGGGGGGATCCCATAGAATCCCCTGGCCGGGGATCCCATGGGGGGGGGCAAGAGGGGATCCCATGGGGGGGATCCCCTCCTGCCCCCCCATGGGATCCCCCCCATGGAGAGTCTCCCGACCACGTGGGTGGGCCCGCGTGAGGAGTCATGCCGGCCAAGGGCCACGCTCGCGCGCAGCCGGCCTTGGCCGTCTTCGGCCTTATATAGGGGGTCCCTCGCCGGGCCCCCTTATGGGGCCGTCGAAACAGGTTGTTGTTTGTGTACCATCCAGCGAGGCCCAGCGGCAAAGGAGGATACAGGGGAGGAGGAGGAGGAGGAGGAGGAAATGGAGTAGGAGGAGGAGGAGGAGGAGGGAATGGAGGAGGACGAGGAGGAGGAGGAGGAGGAGGAGCAGAAGGAGGAGGACCAGTGTAAACCCAAGAGTCATCACCGATGCTGGAATCATCCCTCCCTCCAAGCTCCCTCGTTGGAAGACAACCGTTTGAAGACTCTGAGATATGTCAAAACATTGTTCTCGGGATTCCAGCGCCATGGATCAACCTGAAAGTTTCGTCTTGACGATCCAGAATCGCGCCAGAACGCCGTTCTTGGGACTTCAATACAGCGAACCAAACTAACTGTTGCATCCGCATAACCCTGAATCCTTTCCAATCGCAATTTCTGGCACGTTCATGATGGGGGTCCGTGAACATCTTGCAAGTGTTTGAAACGAATGTGCGCGGCGCTAAGGCCAGAGCCACATTTTGAAAAGGAAGAGCCCTAATGAAGCTCTGGCATTTATTTGAAGCGGATGTGCGCCGCGCTGAGGCGAGAACCACATAGCAAACGGGTCGCCCTCAATCCGTGAAACTCTTGCAAGTTTTAAAACGAATATGCGCCACGCTAGAACGAGAAGTACATTTTGAAAACGACCCGCCCTCCATCCGTGAAGCCCATGCAATTTTTTACACGCATGTGCGCCGTGCAAAGGCGAGAGCCACATTTCGAAAACGACCCGCCCTCCATCTGTGGAGCTGTTGCCACTTGTAAGCTTCAGAGTCATACATGGTGAAGAAGTCTCAGGCGAAACGCCTGACCCGCCATAAAACTGGCCTCGGGGTGCGACAGAGAGAATTTGTTCACAAGGAAAACGAATGGAAGAGGAAGAGGAGGAGGAGAAGGAGGAGGAGGAGGAGGAGAAGGAGGATGATGATGATGAGGAGGAGGAGGAATAGTAGTAGTAGTAGTAGTAGTAGTAGTAGTAGTAGTAGTAGTAGTAGTAGTAGTAGTAGTAGTAGTAGTAGTAGGAAGAGGAGGAGGAGGAGGAGGAGGAGGAGGAGGAGGAGGAGGAGGAGGAGGAGGAGGAGGAGGAGGAGGAGGAGAGCCCGAAGACAAAACGGCAGCCCCAGGGAGGAGGCGACCAATAACCAAAGAACATTCATCAATTCAACGGGCCGGGGCGCTCCAGCAACCAGCGGCGGACCGCCCCGGCTTTGGGAGAGCTAACCGTCCCCGGGAAACGGAAGACGAAATGTGTAACGAAAATCAAGACCTTCGGAGGTCGGCGCGGACCATCGAAAACCCATGCTTTAGCTTGGAGGCGGCCAGGGGGTCTGAGTTGGCTGGGGCCCCAGACCGGTCAGGAAGGAAGGAAGGATGAGATCAAGTCCGTCCCAAATCGGTCCCCAAACCCTTCCTGGGGTCCATCTGGCGAAGGTTCTCACCCGGGGATCCGTTTTTCACGGTCCCGGGGCCCGAGAACGGCCTCCACTGGCTGGAAAAATAAACAAACCTCCCCGGACCCAGAGCCTCGAGCCTGCCTGCCCTTCTGGCTGGCCAGAACCAGTGCTGGGCCACCTCACGCCCCCAGCCCGCTCCAAGACTTTCGGAGGTCCCCGCGAAGCATCGAACGTTTATGCTTGTGCCGCTCCTCTTGTCTCCGACGAAAACGGGCGAGACCTCTGGGGGGGCCTGCGCTGTGGATAAACGGCGACAGTGGGGGGCTTGGGAGCCGCGTCGCCCAACTTCGCGCCCTGGGCTGCACGCGCCATGAGCTCCTGGCGTAAATTATCCTTTTTTCGAGCCGTGCGTTTTCGTCCGGTTTTGGGTCCCAGGACCCTCACAAACCGATCTGGCTCGACAAATGCCGCAGAAAGAGCGTTTTTGTTGTTGTTGTTGTTGTTGTTGTTGTTGTTGTTGTTGTTGTTGTTGTTGTTGTTGTTGTTGTTGTTGTTGTTGTTGTTGTTTTTTGTCGTTCTTGTCTGTTGTCTGTTTCTTCTTCCCCTTCTTCTTCTTCTTCCTCCTTCTTCTTCTTATTTTTCTTACATTCGTGTATAAACTTACGATGCTACCATGTTTTTTTTCGCCTCGTCGGATATCAGGGCAGATGCGACCCTGGGCCACAAGTTTACCTCGGGCGCGCGGCCCTCGTTGCGGCGGGGCTTGGCGTAGCTATGAACAACCTTTCCTGTGGATCGCCAGAGCGACATGGCGCGGGCCGCGCTGCTTGCCCAGCGTGCGACTGGAAAATGATCACCGCCCTGCTTTGTCAGCCTGCCTTTTTCGTCGTCGTCCCCTTCCCACTTCCATCGTCTTACTGCCGCTGTCGCATTGCCTTTTCATCCCCTCTTCCGTACTTTTCCTGCCCCTCGTTCCCACCCCCACTTCCTCTTCTAGCCTGGGGCTTTAGTCTTCATTCTTCTGTTGCTGTCCTGTGAGTCGTGCAACGCGCGCGCTTCTCACATAGCTTGCAAAACCAATGACATATCTTGTTTTATCAAGAGCCATACTGTTTTGGACCAGCTCCTGTTGTCACTTAGTGCAGGTGGGTTGGGTACACCGCAGTGTAGATCCCTTCCAATCAATGCAGGTTCTGGGGCTTCCAAGAATAAGAGATCCCCTTGACCCCGCCCCTCCTGGCAGGAAGCAGCAGCTGGCAGGGGAGGGAGGAAGCGACAGGGGGAGGGGGCTGGAGGAGAGAGCAGAAGGAGGCGCACGGTCAAGGGATGAGGGAAATATGAGGAGGATGAGGACGAGTAGGATGAGAGCGGGAGCGTGCGCCGCGAGCCCGTTCTTGAAGTCCGATCGACGTCAAACAAAGGACGGGAGGGGCTGGGTGGCACTCCCAGATTCCCTCCACACATTAAAGCGCAAAAGATGTATTTTCGCAGGTTCTGGCCTCCGATAGGGGTCAAGTTTGGGGCCGTGGAGACGTCAGAAACGCCCCAGGATGAAGAGCTTTCCCCTGGGAAGGGGTCGACTCGAAAGCCCCTGGGCCCGCGCATTGAGCAACCGCACGACCCCGTGGATCATGATCTTCAGCTCGGCCTCGGTCAGATCCTGGTTCCGCGAGCTCATGACGTCCCCCAGCTCGTGGACGTCGATGAGCTCGTCGCCGTCCTTGTCGAAGAAGTCGAATATCTTTCGCAGCTCGGACGCCTCTGGGGGAGGGCAGCGTGGGTTGGGTCGGACAGAAATGGGGACAGGGGGGAGGGCAGTAGTACTGGGCGGATGTTACTTAGGTTCTCGGTCGTTCGTTCCCTCCTCCTCGCAAACCGCCTGGCTGGCGCATACTCTGTGCCCTTTGGGCCCTCTTCTTTTCCACTTCTACTGGCATGCCTTGTTCTGCTACGCCAGCCAGGCTAATGTGTCGCCCTCACCGCTAAGTCGACGTTCCTTTTTTCTACCTTGCATCACAACGCTACATGCTGTTACATCTAGTCTGTGCGACGCCAAACAAGTAGGGGGGGCAGCGCGCGCGCGCACCGGTTTCCTCCCCCATGATCGACGCAGCGCGCCCGACTCTGGAATTGTCCGCGCCGTGCCGCAAAGCGAGCGCACTCCAGAAGCGGCGATTTGGAGGGGAATCGAGAGAAAGAGAGAGAGAGAGAGATCCTCCCAGCGCCTCCGGCATGGCCAGAGGCACTCCGAGGATTCTGGGCGGTGGCGCATCAGCTCACGCGGCTGCTATTCCCGGCGCCTGGTGCACCCAAAAATCGGGATGCTCTAATTTTTTCGATGCATGGGCACCGGAGGTCTGGACCACTTCCCTAAGGTATTTTTTTTGTCCTGAGCCGTTCTTTGACGCTCCCGAGGCCTGGCGAGGGACCCCCGAGGCCGAAAACGGCCAAAAACCGTCCGCTCGAATTTTTTCGAAGCGTCGGATGTCTAGGTATCTGGGGAAAAGCGCCCGGCGGGCGGGGCCGAAAACAGTTGCGCGCAGCTCGTGGGCGTCTAGGAGGGGGTGCGCCCAAGAGGGGAGTTCGTACGTATCCCATGGCCGGAGGCACGTGCGCTGGCGAATGGGACCAGGGGTCGTATTGACAGAAGGTTCGTGTGTGTTCGTAAATCATGGCTGGAAGCACGTGCGCTGGCGAATGGGGGCCAGGGGACGTGTTGACAAAAAAAGGGCAGGGCGGAGATCTGGGGGCTACCGTGGCCCCCGCCAGTGTATCCACCCCCCAAATGGTTATCATCTCCCTCTTGGCCGCCCCCGACCAGACGCCCCCCCCATATGTGACTGCAGTGGGGCAGAGGAGGGTGGAGAGGAGGAGGAGGAGGAGGAGGAGGAGGAGGAGGAGGAGGAGGAGGAGGAGGAGGAGGGCGAGAAAGAGGAGGAGGAGGAGAAGGAGGAGGAAGAGGAACATCGCGCAAAAGGGCTCGAAGCGCATTCGATGAGACGAATGACGCACCCCACAATCAGATCAAACAACAAAGAAAGACATATAAGAGAACGGCCGCACACTTGCTCCATAATCCCCTCTCCTCGAAAAAATGCCACATCGCGAACAATCGTTATAGGAGCCGTGGTCCCCTTCTTTGTGCAACACTTTTCGAGCTGGATCGATCTGTGATGGTCCCGGGGCCCGACCCCAGGCGAAAACGCCCGCCGTGCAAACATTGCAGCGCCCGGAATCCAAAGATCCGACGCTTTGATTTTTTCGACGCGGGGTCTTGGGAAGTCTCATCCCATTCCCCAAGACAGGCTTTTCATCCCGAGTCGTATTTTGACTCTCCCTGGGCCCGGCGAGGGTCCCCACAGGCAGAAAACAGAGAAACACCTCCGCCTTGATTTTATCAAAATGTTGGAAACCTAGGATTCGCCAAGATCGCAAGGATGGTTGCACCACTCTTAAACCAAATACCGATACCGGTACTCCCTGGACCTCTCCTGGGGTGCGTTCGGGCTGAAATTTCGAGGCGACTGCAACCGTGGTGACGAGGCCCTCACAGGAGGTCCAGACTGGCGAATACGAGTGAAGGGTCGGGCGTTGGCGACGTGTCCGAAAACCACCCGACGTAAGACCGCCGCCCTTGGATCTCAGGGGCTGGGGCCCAGACGTGGGATGCATTTTGTTTTTGATTTTTTTTTGTTTTTGTTTTTTGTTTTGTTTTGTTTGTTTGTTTGTGTTTTTTTCAATGCGGGGTCTCCGAAAGTTTCGGCCCGACCCCTTTAGGCTAATTTTGCATCTCGAACCTTTTCTGAACGGTCTTGGGGCCCGGCGAGGGCCCCGTAAGGAGGCCGACAACGGCCCAAAACTTCCTGCAGTTTTTTTCATGACGCGAAAGGGGTCTGGATAATCTACCATGAGATTCGACGGCGGGAAAAACTTGGAACATCGTGCGCGACCGCATGCCTAGACCCACACATCCTGCTGATCCAACTTTTTTGACGCATGGGCCCCAAAGGTCCAAACCATTTCCTTAGGGCTAGTTGTTCGTCCGGGGCCGTTCTTTGGCGCCACCGAAGCCCGACGAAGGCCTCCAAAAACCGAAAACGGCCAAAAACCGCTTGCTCATTTTTTTCGGAACGTCGGATCTCTAGGGGCGCCAACTGTCTGCGCCACTTTTCAAGCCGGATCGATCTGTGAGGGTCCCAAGTTCTGCAGGACCTGCAAAGCCCGACTGGCCCGGGTTCGCATTGACACTGCCCCCCAGGGGCGGTGGCCTGACGACGGACGGGTCTTTTGGACGCGTCGTGCCTGCAGAACCTGGCGTCTCCCTTCTGTTCGATTTACTTGGACGCGGGCTGACGACTAGCCTCAGCTCCCTGCAAAACCGACGAAAGGCGAAGGGCCCGAAGGCCGAAAGGGACGAGGGACGGACCCAGGACCCGAGACAGAGCCGACCGAAAGGACCGACCGAAAAGACAAGGACCGAAACCTCGAGGGCCACGGGCAGCAAGCAAGCAACGCAAAACTGCTGGTACCGTTTCTTGGGGCGGATGTAAGCCCTGGTTCTCAATGGCAGCCATGCTGTCAGCACCAGGTGCAAGTGCAAGTGCCCCCCCCCGCTTCACTTTGATCGCCCCCCTCACCCCACATAACAAGGACAGGCTGCCACAAACGCGAGCCACGCGCAACGGGTGTCTGGTTCCGTCGCGGCTCGACGCTCGTGGTTGGGGGCTACGAGGGTTCCAAGGGCACAGAAAGAACATGCAGACCTCTCCTGGACTAGCACGGGAGAGGAGCATAAACAACCAACAACAGAGAAGAAGCGAAGCTTTGCTCTTCTTCTGTCTCTTTACGAGCCTGGGCGCAACATATGATATAACGCACGCAGGTTGCCACAAACACGAGCCAGACGCTACGGGTGTCTGGTTCCGTCGCGGCTCGACGCTCGTGGTTGCGGCGGGGGCTGCAGGGGTTTCCAAGGTGAATACAGTTACTCTCCAAGCCAGTCAACTACGGCACGGGAGAGATGCATAAGGCAAGCAAGCAAGAGACAGGGTGAAGCTTTATCTTCTTCTGTCTCTTTGCGAGCCTGGGCGCAGCTGGGCGCGGAGGAAACGAAACAGACAAATACTGAGAGGTATATCCAAGAGACCAGCATCGCGCAAGCAGAACAATGCGTCCTGACTATGTCAGGTCCTGGGGAGAACGACCTGCTGTTCGAGCCGTGCGTCGGGCCCTGGAACCTTCACAGATCGATCCAGCTTGAAAAGTGGCGCAACCAGTTGGGGTCCCTAGAGATCCGACGCTCCGAAAAAAATGGTGCAGGCGTTTATGACAGATTTCGGCCCCTGGGGGCGCGTCAAACAACGGCTCAGGACGAAAAACTGGCCCTAGGGAAATGGTCTGGACCTCTGGGGCCCATGCGTCCAAACAATTGGAGCTCTGGCTGACCCCGTTTGCACTGATCCCCATCTCGAGGCTCCCGATCATCGGGGGCGTCCAATGGGGGGGGGTGGCGTCCAAGAGGGGGGGGTCGCAAAGCATGGCCCGTGGCATGGGGGCGGCCTTAGGGGGGGGCCAAGGGACGTGTTGAAACAAGAGGCGCCCCGAAACCTGGGGACCGATGGGGCCGCGTATTGCAGAAAGCCCCTGTCTCGAGGCTCCCGATGGGGCCTCCTCGTCGGTCCAGCCGGGCATCGGGGCACGCTGGCGGGCGGGCGGTGGCTCGCCCGGGCGCTCCGCGGGCGCGTCGGCGGGCTCCTCCTGTGGCGGGCGCGACGGGGGCGGTCCCCATAGCTGGCGGGGGGGCTTCCGAGAAGGCAGGGGCCTCCTCAGAAGCCCCTCCCCGCGGCTTGTAGTCGCCGACTTCTGGCCCAATTTCCCGGGGCCGGCGCTTGATCCCGAGTCGACTTTGGACGACCCCGAGGCCCAGCAAGGCTACTACCGCTACTGCTACAAACTACGACGATGAGGAGGAGGAGGAGGAGGAGGAGGAGGAGGACGGCGTTTACCGCTCCTACTAATGTTGCTTTCCTAGAGGCTCCAACTCCTAGGTAGGGTCGCACTGGGATAATTTGTGTCCTCCTCCTCCTCCTCGTCCTGGTCCTGGTCCTGGTCCTGGTCCTGGTCCTGGTCCTCGTCCTCCTCCTCCTCCTCCTCCTCCTCCGCGCGCCAGAACCGAGCAGACGAGGCGCGCGCGCCCGCCCCCCAGACCCCTGACGTCATGTTTTTTCGCGACGTCGACCCCCAGAAGTCTGCATCCCTTCCCCGGGACCGGCTCTTCGTCCCTATAGTCGTTTTTTGACAGCCCCGGGGCCCAGCGAGCGGGCCCTCAGAGAGGCCGAAGATTGAGCACAAGGTCTCTCGCACGCGACTCCTCGCCACGCGAGGAGGTCTGGGAGGGAGGCCGTCGTGCTCGAAGGGCGGCGGCCAGCCACCACCGCGGCCGAGGCTCGGAGAGCGGCGACCGCCGGCAGGCCAGCTCCCAGACCCCCTCGCGTTGTGTCGGGTGTGTTCCCCTACAGGGGGATTTTCGACGAAAAATTAAAAAATACTCTAAAAATAGACCAAAAAGGTTAACAAATATTCCAAAAATAGTCCCCAGACTATTTTTGGATTTTTTGAACTATTTTTGGGGTATTTTGGGTTTTTCGTCGAAAATCCCCCTGTATGGGTGACGGGCCCGACTCAACCCTCGCGTCGTGGCAACAAAATCGTGACGGTCCCTGGCCAGGGCGCGCGCGCGAGCGCTTGCTCCGCGAAAGGGCCGTGCGCGGGTCGGCATCCGGAGTTCGTGGACTCCGGAAGCAGGCGGGCGGACGGCAGCTCGCGCGATCTGGGCGAGGACACGCTCGTCCGCGGCCACGGGCTTCACACTGCGTGCCACTGGCTTCTTTCTTGGTTCCGACCTCCCGTCGCGACTCTTTCGTGACCCGACGGGGTCTGGGCCGCGGCCCGCCCGCGGTCCGCGGCGCCGCGGCGCGTGCGCTCGGGGCGGCCGGGCGCGCCGCGCTCCTCCTGCGAGGGGGGCGCCTCGTCCGAGGCGGCGCCGCCCGCCGCGGGCGCGCCGGCGGCTGGGGCCTGCGCGGGCTCAGCTCGGGCTTCCCCTGGCCCTCCTCCTGCTCCCTTCTCCCTCCTCCTCCTCCTCCTCCTCCTCCTCCTCGTCGTCCTCCTCCTCGTCCTCCTCTCCTCCTCCTCCTCCTCGTCCTCGTCCGTCCTGCTCCTCCTCCTCCTCCTCCTCCTCCTCCTCCTCCATCTTCCTCCTCTTCTTCTTCCTCCTCCTCCTCCTCCCTCTTCCCCTCCTTCCCCCTCCCCCCTCCTCCTACGTAGAGATCCGACGCTCTGATAAAAATGGAGCGGGCGTTTTTTAGGGCCGTTTTTGGCCTTGGGGGGCCCTCGCTGGGCGCTGGGAGCATGAAAAAACTACTCAGGACGAAACCCTAGGGAAATGGTCAAGACCTCAGGGGCCCATGCATCGAAAAACTTGGAGCACCCGGATGTCTCCCTCCCCTGAGATCCTGACGTCTCAATTTTTTCGAGCGTTTTCGTCAGGTCTCGGGCCCTGGGATCCTCACATATCGATCCAGCTGGGAAAAAAAGGCATAAGATGGGGTGTAAAAGGCTTTTCCCCCTCCCCCCCCGATGTTTCAATTATTCCCAACCCTCCCTTGGTTGGGTACTCGTTTTGACTAGAGCACTCTGGTCGCCCCGTCCTCCCGCCCACTTCCCTCCTGCCTCCTACCTCTTCCTCGCGGCGCCCTCTGGGGGGCTGCGATCTGCGCATCTGTCGCCTCCTGCGATCTTGCGCAACTGTCGGCACTTTCGTGGGCTCCTGGGAGGCCCAGCGGGGGGAGCTGCCAACTGCGCAACTGTCGGCACTTTCGTGGGCTCCTGGGAGGCCCAGCGGAGTGGGGTTACACGCGGATCGCGTCGGGACCTCGCGGCTCCCTGCGGGGGGAGCTGCGAACTGCGCAATTGTCGGCACTTTCGTGGGCTCCTGGGAGGCCCAGCGGAGTGGGGTTATACGCGGATCGCGTCGGGACCTCGCGGCTCCCTGCGGGGGGAGCTGCCGACTGCGCAATTGTCGGCACTTTCGTGGGCTCCTGGGCCCAGCGGAGTGGGGTTACACGCGGATCGCGTCGGGACCTCGCGGCTCCCTGCTGGGGGAGCTGCCAATTGCGCAACTGTCGGCACTTCCGTGGGCTCCTGAGACGCCGAACGATCGCTCCAGGACGTTCAAGGTGGGCCCCAGACGGCCCAAGAGGCTTCCAAGACGCTCCAAGAGGCCTCCAAAAGGCTTCATGGGAGGGCCCCGAAAGGCCAAAACCATGAATTTTACGATTGTTTTTGAAGGATTTTGGCCTTCTCGTCTTTTCGGCTTTCCGGAGCTACAGGACGGCTCAAGAGGCACCCAATACTGCCCCAAGACGGCCGAAGAGGCTTCCCAGAGGGCCCGAAGACTGCCACGAGGCCCCAAGACGGCCCAAGACAGCCACTCTAGCGAAGAGTACCGACTATCGGGATTTGTCGGTCAGGTTTCCAACGACGGTCCAGAGGACTTGCTGTGAGCAGGGCGATTTGGGTGCGACCGAAACAGCAGAAAACTATTCTCCTGCTACAGCTACAGGCCCGAGCTAAAGCTTTCGGGTCCCAAGCTTCGGCTACAGGCCCAAGCCACAGCTACAGGCCCATGAGAATGGGGTGCGACCGAAACAGCAGAATACGATTCTCCTGCTACAGCTACAGGCCCGGGCTAAAGCTTTCGGGTCCCAAGCTGCGGCTACAGGCCCGAGCCACAGCTACAGGCCCAGGAGAATGGGGTGCGACCGAAACAGCAGAATACTATTCTCCTGCTACAGCTACCAGCAGCACCAGCACTAACCTCCTCCGACCACCTGCAGCAGCACCAGCAACACCGGCACCAGTTGCAGCAGCACCACGAACACCAGCGTCAGCAAGTGCACTGTAGCCAGAATTTCAGCCGTTGAGGCGGCCCACGAGGCAGCCAGCGAGGCGGCTAACGAGGTAACCCACGAGGCAGCCAGCCAGGCAGCGAGGCGGTCGCCTCAAGCCGCCCCTTGTCATCACGGCCGGACGCAGCTCGGATGGCCACGCGGGGTGGCCGCGGAGCGGCCGCCTGTGCAACCTGCCCTGCCG